ACTGTACATGGATATGCATATAAATAAATATATATATATGTATATGTATAAATATATATATATATATATATATATATATATATATATATATATATATATGGATAGATAGATACATATGTATATATCTGTATGTAAATGAATAAATAGATAAGAAAATAAATGAATAAATATATGGAAATATATACGTCTGTATATATAAATATATATACATATATACATATATATACATTTAAATTTATCTGTATATATTCAAATGTATATGTATATATATATCTATATATATATATATATATATATATATATATATAAATGTCTATATATATATATATATAAATGTCTATATATATATATTTACATATACAGAGGTAAATATTTATATAAGTATATTTATATATACATACATACATATACATAAATACATATATAGATAGGTACATATATATATATATATAAACCATTACTGCTATCATCATTATCTTGGTATTATAGATGGATGGATAGATAGATAAATAGATTGGTAGATAGGTAGATATATAGATATGCCAGTGCGTGTTTGTATCTTCCATACACAATGATTAATGATTCTGTATGTATGACTGCATGAAGACATTATATTATTAAAATACCTGCGGTTAGCATCAGCATTGATGGTTCACCTTCGCGCTGTTGCCAATGTCTATGCGGCAACTGGACGTACTTTGGAAGCATATAAAGAGCCAGTGTCTATCCTGCAATAGCAGTTGAGCCTGTAGCCTTCTTGTAGACACAACATTCCGATTCTACGCGATGGTTGGTTCCTCACGAAGATGACATTATTTTTATACATGACATATCTTCGATTTTCTTATCTTTTTAGGGAATTCTCTATAGTACGGATACACAGATATCCCGTTTTTTTTGTTTTGTTTTATTTTGTCTATCTTAACATGAATATGCATTGCAGTTGCACCTTCGCTTTGTTGTCCTTCTCGCTGCCTGCTTCGTGATAGCCATAGCGAGCCAGAATTGCACCCGTTACTGCCAGACTCCTGGTCAGACTGACGTGTGCTGTGGTGAGTGACCTGTGACCTTTGTGTTGCATAGGTAGTCGAAGTTATATATATATATATGTGTGTGTGTGTGTGTATGTATAAGAAAGGCATGTATATTATGAGACGATAGGTTCGATTACTTTTATATGTAGTATGAGATAGATAGACACAGGCATATAGATAAGTATATGTCAAATAGATAAGTGATTATGAAGTATATGAACAGGAATACACTTAAATATACATGGTACTGAGCTACAAATAATATTCATCTGCAAAATGTGTTTCCCTTTTTTTCCTTCTCATTCCCTCCAATTACATTTCCAACCAATTCAATTCTCCAACAGATCCCCCACCTCCTCCTAGCTGCCCCTACCCCCCAACGTGCATCGACTTCGACGGCAAGGTCCCCGTAAGTATCCTCTTCGCTCCTTATCCGCTCGGCCCGGAGATTTCGCTCGGTCTACCTGCCATCAGGTGGATAAACAGCTTTTTCCTACTTTTTATTCATTTTCAACCTTCCCTTTACGTTTTTCTTTTGTAAACTATTTGCTACTTTAAGGGAGTCAAGACCATAATCCAAGAATGTATTATCATGATGAAAAGATTTACCATAGTTATTTATGAATGTTCAGTTTCATTTCATAAATAGAATAAACTTCACATAAAGGCATGTAATATGATAGCAGCCCAAATTAAGTCTGAGTTTGACGCCCTTGGATTAGATGAACTGAGGGAATGTCATGACATCTATTCTGTTTCTATATATGAATATTCGGCTTTGTATGTGTTTTTTTTTTTCCCAATTGAGCGAATTCACGGTAGTTAATGAATGAGATTGAATAATTTTCAACTCATTTCAAGAAACACATTATTCAAATGAAGCAAAATTTTTCGACGTCAAAAGTACATCTTTCGTTCAACTCACTTCGATAAATTCCTCTTCCACTCCTTCCATGTAGCTGTACGAATCTCAGCCATCTCACGCACTCTCACTCCTCCTTTGCAGTTCTGCGACAGCGACGACCAGTGTCCACCGGGCCAGAAATGCTGCACAGACGCCTGTTCCCAAAAGAAAGTTTGTTTGCTCGTCTGAGCCATGCCCCAGCGAGTGCATGGTTGTATGACACAAGCTCTGGACCGACTGTTGAGGAACTGCGTGCTTGGCCATTTCATCTCTTGCTTTTGTTTTTCATTCGTTTCATTTTCCTGTGGACACCACCAAGATCTTAAATGCACAATAGTGCCCTTTGACCAATAAATTCGGAATGGAATTTTGTTTGGCGTTTTGTTTCCCTTGGAATGGCTTACGTGCATCAAATATGGTGATACAAAAACGTACCTATGGAACATTTTCGAGAGACACATGTGTAATAAACCAGTTTCTGACCGGATATGAAATCTAGTACATACACTATTTAAATATATACATATATGCATACATATGCGTATGTATACTTATATACGTACATATATATATATATATATATACAAGAATATTTACATGTAAACAAATATAAGCATATTTATGCAAATATACATATACATGTCTACTTATATATCTATCAATTTATATATCTATTCATTCATTAACATTTATATAAACATATAAATTTATATGCATATATACACATATACGTTGTGTGTGTGTTTATTTATGTATATATATATA